TTTTCTTAAATCTCCTCCACAGATTTGAGAAATATTTGCAAGTTTTCAATGCTCATTAGCTGAGGAGGGCATTTGTAGTTCTTCACTTTTGCTTACTTGAAAGGGACATAGGCTGGCACTGCAAAGCCCAACTGTTTATGCAAGCATGTCCTGACTAGGTTGAATGTTCACTACATTACTTCCTGTTTTTGTAAATGTTACAGTCATTTACAGAATAAACAGTTGCTTCCAATCATCGGCTCAGAAGTTTTCACCCCGCTGACTGTAAATTAGACTATTTAGTGTACATTCTCATAGAGCTGATGTCATTTCAGTTATTGGGGCATAGATGAAATCAGCTGGGGTTTTTGAATTGCTTAAACGAATCAATTATGCATTTTCAGCAGGTGCAAGACACCCTGTTACCATCTATGGTTTTACATCAGTCCCTAGGATAAGAGCAACACACAAGTTAGCAAGCCTGCAAGCGCTACTAGATGCCTCTCCAGCCCAACTGACTTATTTACCTTGCAGCACAGGACTCCACTGGGAATTATAGATCCAAATTTGTACCTCCTGGAAAAAAATTGGGGAAAGTAACCATGACCCCACCACAATTGCTTTGTGATTCACTTGGGGTCATGACCCCATCCCATTGAGACCTGCTGCTCTAAGCAGTAACTCGGTAGCTAGAGTTTTTTTTAAAGGGGCTGTTGATTGGCTTAGCTATAAGAAAATCACATTTCCCTGAAACTCTTAGGGATACTTTAAATGGGTGGATTATACGGCTGCCTGATTAGAAGTTTGGGTTATGTAAACACTGAGTGTTTAGATTTAGGCTTTGCTATTGGAGCCTGGGCAGCTGTTTGCACTTAACTCCATCAAGAAGCCCAGTTAATCAAAGAGCAGGAAGGATCTTTTTTTGCCCCGCCCCCACCCCCCAAATCTATGTCATTATTCCTTCTGTCCAAATGTCTTGGAGTCAGGCCCGTTGTGATGTAGAACAAGGACTTTGGAATGCTGTGTTGAGGAATGAGAATGGATGGGTTTTGATTAGCAAGATGGTTTTTCTCATTTTGTAATGGAAGAGTTTCTCTCATCCAAATTCCTTAAAGCCTCCAGTGCAGTAGCCAGGATCAGGTCTTCGAGGCTTTGATATATTGTTATAAACTACTTCTTAGCATACTGGTACACCTGGGACTTGATTTGGATACTTTAAGTTGCTTAGTCCCTTGCTACACAGATAGCTTCAGTGAAACTTATTCAGAGCAGGTACCAGGTGAGGAGTTGGAAACTTGTTTCTATCAGAATTCAGGCCAGTGCCCGCAAAGAGAGAAATATGAATTGTGAAAATGGCCAGTGTAGGTAGCTTCTATAGATTAAAGCATGCAGTCCCGAGGCTCTAACTCTGGAAGCACTTAGCCCAATAGAACTAGCCCAGAACTTCCCTTGGTCTCAAGTTCCAGCAAGGGAAGTTTAGGTTGGACATTAGAAAAAAAATTCTCACTAGGAGGGTGGTAAGCACTGGAACAAATTACCTAGAGACATGGTGGCCTCTCTATCCTTGGAGGCTTTTAAGGCCTGGCTCGCCAAAGCCCTGAATGGAATGATCTAGCTGGTGCTGGTCCTGCTTTGAGCAGCAGGTTGTATTAGATGACCTCCTGAGGTCCCTTCCAGCCCGAATTTTCTATGATCCCAGCTACCCATGTGCATGAAGTTATATGCATCTTTTAGGAGCAGCACCTATAGACCTGATTTGGACTTATACTAAATCCCATTTGCATCACCCTCGCAGCAATTACAGGCCTTGCAGTGTAGTAATTGCAGCTTACCACTGCCCCCCCTGCCCATTTTGAGCTCCCTTTAGACCATCAAAGTGGTGTAAAGTGGCCTTAGAGCAGAGAATCAAGGCCTATATACTAGAACAGGGCCTGTGGGCTGTATGCAGTCTGCAAGGGGTTAACATGCAGCCCCTGGGCTTCTACCCAGCCACTGTTTCTCCATTGTTTCAGCTGCAGCAGTAGTCACGGTCTCCAGGTGTCCTCTCCCTCCTCTAGTTTCCACTTCCTGCCACCAGCAGGTAGAGTAACATAGTGAGGTATAGCCTGGTGTCAGGGGTGCTGGTGGCACACAGTGCTTGTGTGGCATGGTGCAGCAGGGGAGACCAAAGCCTGAGGATGAGGCACATGCAGGGTGCAGCAGCAGGTGCCTGCGTGGCATAAAGCCCAGGTGGCCTATGGGCTATGTTAGTATGGCCCCCAAGGTGTGTGGCCACTCCTGGTGTGGTTTATGGGGCATGCTTCCCCTGGCTGCTTAGAAGCTGGACAGTCCTGTGTTAAGACAACATCATGACCTAAGTCTCAATCTCAGCAAATTCAATTAATGAGCTAATCATCCTGACATTCATGTTAGGCAGGAAGGGATGAAGTTACAGAGGGGTTGTATGTGATTTGCATGTCTAAATAGGGGGATGCATGGTTTAATAGTGACAGTACTTCCCTCTCTACTGCCTGTGTGACAGCTTATGTCCCATAAACTCAACCTGAATCTTTTATCTGCATTATGCAGCAGCTGTGAAAATCTTCTTATTGTTGAACATTGATTTGCTTTATATTTATATAACAAACCTCACATTATATCTTAATAATGCAAAGCTCTAATCCCTGTAATTAGACCTATTCACTATATTAGCAATACATTTGTGGTAACACTCAGGCCATAGTTAGGACTGGGATCCTGTTGTGCTGGACACTGTATAAAACATAGGAAAGAGACACTTTTTGGAAGATTGGTATTCTGTAAGAGGCAATCAAAAATGGTAGCAGATGGAAACAGTGTACAAGTAAGAAAATATTGTAAAAAAATGTGTTACTATTGGTTCTGTTAGTTTTGCTAGTATAATTAGTGTTGATACATTGATCTCTTTTGCAGGTGAGAGGGTACAGAATTGAGCTGATCTGAGTCAGAAACATATACAATGCTCTGCCTTTGCAGGCGAAGTAAAGACTTGCTGATGTTTTCCTTCTCACTGCTGGCATCAACAGTTTGTTCCCTTCATTCTGGAACGACTCTTAACATGACAAATTACCTCATGGTCAGTGGCAAAGATTAAACAGTATCTAGTAATAACTAGGGACCTGCCTAAGTCACAGTGAGAGAAAGCAATTTTCACGGCTTGGTTGCAGACCAAAGAGCTGATTCTGTGGTCATTTCACGGTGGCCCTGCCCCTTGGTGCTGATTGGCAGAGAGGCCCCAGGGAGTGGGGGGGGTGAGGAGGGGAGGAGGCACAAGGGGGCGACTGCCATCTTGACTGCTGGCTGCCCTTCATGTGGCTTTGCCCCTGGTGATGATTGGTGGAGAGGCACGAGGGGGCAGCTGCCATCTTGGCTCCTGCCCTTCATGCTGCCCCACCAGCTGTCACCATCCCCTTCCACTTGGGAGCCAGCATTTAATTTTATTTATTTATTTTCGGTTCATTTCCTGGGAAATTGTGGCCAATGCCATTTATCATAGTTTCCGCGAAAATCATGAAACCGTGATTTAAGTAGGTCGCTAGTAATAACAGTGTTGAATAGTTTTCTTCAAAGAATAGGAACTCTAGCAGGGAATATCCAGATATTGCCATGTTTTACATTAAAGAAGGATTCTTTTTTGAATTTGCTATTTCTCTGTTTTGTTTTTCAGCAAAAACCCAGGAAAAGGAGAAGGCAGCACTTGTAACCTATCCTTGATGAAGTACTTTGTTACTTACCATTACTGAACTTGGAAGGATACAATATCCAATTGTGTGAGTAACTGATTCCCATTTCCATACAAAAATATCATGCTAGAACAGGATAATGAGAGACTGATCAGTTTAGTGGGAAATGCCTCTGTGTTCCACCTGTGATTAGCCTGGCAGGCCACTTTATGTCACTATTGCTCCATGTTCAACAGTGCCTGAACCAGTGCTGTCTTAGCAGTACAAACAAATGAGATTCCCATTGTCTTAGACTTTAGAAATTCTACCTTCCGGAAATCGGTTAGTCTCTTGGGCCTTGTTTTTAGAGCAGGTAGCACTTTGTTTATTTTGAATGAGGCTGATCTGATTGTGTGCCAGCTCAGTGAGTTAGCTTTGGGATACATGGGAATTCACATCTCTCTGATTCCACGGGTAACCTACGTTCTTCTTATCCTTTATACTTTGGCTTTGATGTTGGAGCTGAAACTAGAAGGACGGAAGCTTGAAATCATATGATACTTTCTTTTTCTCTGCAGCTTCTGGGCCAATTGTTTACAGCAGTGAGGAAGCTGTTTGCCTACCAGCTGGGGGATATTAGTAAACCAGTTCTGTCTCTAAAATGAGGACATGACCAAAAAAACCCCCAGCCCCCCCAACAAAAACAACCTCACCATTTTGCATGATAAGATAAGGGCAATAAAATCTTATGCTTCAGGGCATAAGATGATCATTGCAGGAATCAAGCTGAAATTCCTGCCCAACATTGCAAGAGCATTGCACAATTTCCTTAGTCAGTGGCTCTCATGCATTTTTTGTACCATGGCACTCTCCTTGTCAGAGATCTGCTTATAGACATTTCTCTGCTAAATTTATCCTGCCACATCTTTCTTTTCAGCAATTTAGTGCTTTCTGACATGGGAAAGTTAACATAGAACATTTGGGGATAAAGTCACTTTTATGCAAACTTACCACAATTAAATGTTACCCATTTGTAGCTGATATATGCAGATCCCTAGCGGGGCCTGGCTGCAGTGAAGTGTTTGTGGGGGAGAAAAAAAAATCTCCTCACGGTGGCCCTGCCCCTTGGTGCTGATTGGCAGAGAGGCCCCAGGGAGTGGGGGGGGTGAGGAGGGGAGGAGGCACAAGGGGGCGACTGCCATCTTGACTGCTGGCTGCCCTTCATGTGGCTTTGCCCCTGGTGATGATTGGTGGAGAGGCACGAGGGGGCAGCTGCCATCTTGGCTCCTGCCCTTCATGCTGCCCCACCAGCTGTCACCATCCCCTTCCACTTGGGAGCCAGCATTTAATTTTATTTATTTATTTTCGGTTCATTTCCTGGGAAATTGTGGCCAATGCCATTTATCATAGTTTCCGCGAAAATCATGAAACCGTGATTTAAGTAGGTCGCTAGTAATAACAGTGTTGAATAGTTTTCTTCAAAGAATAGGAACTCTAGCAGGGAATATCCAGATATTGCCATGTTTTACATTAAAGAAGGATTCTTTTTTGAATTTGCTATTTCTCTGTTTTGTTTTTCAGCAAAAACCCAGGAAAAGGAGAAGGCAGCACTTGTAACCTATCCTTGATGAAGTACTTTGTTACTTACCATTACTGAACTTGGAAGGATACAATATCCAATTGTGTGAGTAACTGATTCCCATTTCCATACAAAAATATCATGCTAGAACAGGATAATGAGAGACTGATCAGTTTAGTGGGAAATGCCTCTGTGTTCCACCTGTGATTAGCCTGGCAGGCCACTTTATGTCACTATTGCTCCATGTTCAACAGTGCCTGAACCAGTGCTGTCTTAGCAGTACAAACAAATGAGATTCCCATTGTCTTAGACTTTAGAAATTCTACCTTCCGGAAATCGGTTAGTCTCTTGGGCCTTGTTTTTAGAGCAGGTAGCACTTTGTTTATTTTGAATGAGGCTGATCTGATTGTGTGCCAGCTCAGTGAGTTAGCTTTGGGATACATGGGAATTCACATCTCTCTGATTCCACGGGTAACCTACGTTCTTCTTATCCTTTATACTTTGGCTTTGATGTTGGAGCTGAAACTAGAAGGACGGAAGCTTGAAATCATATGATACTTTCTTTTTCTCTGCAGCTTCTGGGCCAATTGTTTACAGCAGTGAGGAAGCTGTTTGCCTACCAGCTGGGGGATATTAGTAAACCAGTTCTGTCTCTAAAATGAGGACATGACCAAAAAAACCCCCAGCCCCCCCAACAAAAACAACCTCACCATTTTGCATGATAAGATAAGGGCAATAAAATCTTATGCTTCAGGGCATAAGATGATCATTGCAGGAATCAAGCTGAAATTCCTGCCCAACATTGCAAGAGCATTGCACAATTTCCTTAGTCAGTGGCTCTCATGCATTTTTTGTACCATGGCACTCTCCTTGTCAGAGATCTGCTTATAGACATTTTTTTGCTAAATTTACCCTGCCACATCTTTCTTTTCAGCAATTTAGTGCTTTCTGACATGGGAAAGTTAACATAGAACATTTGGGGATAAAGTCACTTTTATGCAAACTTACCACAATTAAATGTTACCCATTTGTAGCTGATATATGCAGATCCCTAGCGGGGCCTGGCTGCAGTGAAGTGTTTGTGGGGGAGAAAAAAAAATCTCCTACTGCTGCAGCATTGGCACAGCTGTAATGGTGGGAGGACTCATACAGACCAGACTCTGGTTTATGTCTGTGCTATGTGGGCATCAAAGAGTATGCCTTGGAGTTTAGATGTTGAGTTATTGTAAAAAGGCATAACTACTGGTTTTCACAAACCAGTGCTGATTTGCACTAGATAAAGGTCCAGCTCTCTCAGGGTTGTCTTGGTGAGGGCACAGGAATGTGGAAGGAGGAAGAGTGATTTATATAATAGCTGTTGCAGGGTCTGTTCAGACACTTGATTGGTTTGTGCAGTACAGTACTGTAATAGGAAATGCTCCCGAAGCTCCTAAGTGACCTTAAGTCTAAGCCATTCAAAGGACTTAGGCACCTTGAGGTGAGGCATAGATTCCCCATATAGTGCGTAGGGAGAGTTAAGGAATCAGCACACTAAGTGGAGAGCAGTCTAAGCTAAACAGTGAGACATACCTAGGACCCATCCCTCACTGAGAGTGTGCTCTATCTCCATTTAGTTTTACAGCCATGGTCTCTATTCCAGGCCAAGATGCCTAGGCAAGTTCCTTCTCATAACATATGGTGGCTGCAGCAGGAGGTTGCAGATTTAGTACTTCCCTTTTACCTGGCATTCAGTGGCTGGAACCACTACTAGGATGTAGGAGGCCCAGATTCAAATTCCTCCCCTGAGTGGACTTGAATCACCATGTGCTTCTGACCCTCCTAACCAACAGGCTGTAGCCTAGTCTGAATATTCAGATTTTAATTTTCAAAAGTGACCTAGGCTTTTAGGAATCCAAGTTCCACAGAATTTTTTCAAGGAGATACAAATTCATGAGAGAGATATTATTAATAGTATTTTATGTACTTAAAGATGCAGATGAGTGTCTACTGTGATTTTCAAAACTTCTGTGGTGTTTAATTCTCAACACGAGGAAGACTTCCATTGATATGAGTCTACCTCATACCAAGGCATGTTTAAAAATCCAGAAAGGCACTTCAGTGTCTGTAAATATCTGGCTGCAGTTGCCTAAATCATGAGATTTAAAATGAGATATGAGCACCTAAGTCATGAAACTGGTTTAAAAAATATCACCCCTTGTGTCCAGAAAAAATCTGAAGGTCTCCCAAGACTAGAAGTGCCAGTTATGAATTTGTAGAAGCTGTTGGTGTCTTGAATGATATCTCAACTTTGCATACTGCTCATTCATCACCCTTATATCCCAAAAGGAAAAGCTTTACTACCAGGAAAAATTACTCCATTGTCAAAGGAGGCATGTCTATTAACATCCATAGGGGGTTTGGCCCATGATATCTCCTGAGATGGCCATATAATTTAATATCTCGATCTGGCCATTGATACTTGATTAATTATCCTGGTAGCAGAATAATGGCCATGTACAGACATTTTCAGTTTGTACCAGAAGAATCACTTTTCTCCTGGTAGAAAACAGAAGTGTGCAGATGTTCAAGCTTTTTCTCCAAGAGCAAAAATGGCTGCTGCTGCTCCTGGAAAAAAAATTGCTCTGGGGTTAAACTGCTTCTAGGAGAGTTTACCCTGGGAGACTGTACACTTTACCCCAGCTTAACTCTTCCTGGGGACCAGAAGGAGTATGTCTAGGAAAAAGGCTCCATTGACCCCAGTCTCAGAAAGGCACCTTGGTCTGGAGGAGGCACGTTGAGGGGAGCTACTTTTCTCCCTCCCCACAGCTGCTCTCTGCCTGCTTCTCACACCAGGGTTTCTGCTTCTCTCCCAGGTACCAGGAGCAGAGTGCAGGGAGTGCGGCTCCCTGCCTGCTTCCCCTTGCTTTGCCTGCTGTGCTCAGCTGAATGGTAGGGGTGATGAGCTGGGCTTGCAAACCCTGGTCTTGGCCATGACAACTTCCTCTTGCATCCCCCCAACCCTGTGGTTCAGCTGAATGGTAGGGACAGTCATTTAAAGGTGGGTGGGGCTGGGATCCAGGTTTGGGGAAAGCCTCCCAAAGTTGGCTTCCATTCTGTGCAGCTTTCCCTTACCCTCTACTACTCAGCTGAGAGGTGGGGGTGGCAATTTAAAAACCAGAGGAGCCTGGTAGGTGTAGGCTTTCTCAAATCCTGGCTCCTAGGCCTGCTGGCTTCCCTTCGCCACCAGCTGACCTAGAGCAGAGTGGGGAGAGGCAGGTTTCTGTGCCGCAGCAGCAAAATTGGGATCCTTACTATCATAGCAGAATGCCCATACCTAACTCCACACTGTTCTGGGTCATCTTGGAGCAGCCCAGGGTGAGGCAATCTGCCATGGCCCTGCAGCAAGGCTCCTGCAGCCTGGAGGAGTGCAAGGAGTGGGGATGTTCTCCTGATGGGGAGAACAGTAATGCCCCCCTCCTGCAAATCAGCAGATTAGTAAGGTGGGGGTGTGCATTCTCCTGGGGCTGGAATCCTCCCCAGTTGTTTATGGCAGGTGACACTTGCCAGAGTGCCCCCTTCCCAAGCAGGAGAGAGCACAGGCTGCTAATCAGTGGGCTCCCATAAGGGTGGGGGGCGGCTCACAGTGCATCCCTTGCCTGTGAAGCTCTCCAGTCGTGGGGCTGGAGGAACATCTGTACAGTCCAGATCCTAGGCTATGGTTCGACCAGAAGAAATGTCTTCCAGTGGAAATGAACACCCGTATGCAACCAATGTCCATGTACTTCCACTAATTCTCTGGTTTGTATGGGATTTGGTAGACACAGACGCGGCACTTGATAAAGGGCCTGGAACTGAAGCTTCCTTCCACAAAAAATGGGCCTTGCAGGGAGCTTACAAGATTTAGACCTGTGCATCTGGATATGTTATGGTTACTGCAAGCTAGTATGCACTCAACCCAACACCTGGAAAAAAAAAACATTTTGCAGCCTTCTGATTCACTGTGCAAACACAGCATTCAGATTCATTGCGGAATTACTTAGCAGAGACAGTAAAAGAGAGTATGTAATTATGATTCAGTGGGAAAATACACAGTGGCCAATAACCCACAAAAGTCTCGCTTCTATTTATGTGGTACAGTGATGTAGCATTAATGCATTGGACTGTACTATTAGTATCTATGAGTACTGGTGAAGCTTCCTTATGCTGTACATTTTATCCTAGTATTGCTTTGTTTAATAACTTTAGGAAATGTGGTATTAGATGTTACAAAGCTATTTGACCCTTGAGTTTTCTGACTACAGTGGAGCATGGTTTCAATATATAATGTGTGGATAACAGATTGGAGTGAGGAGGGAAATGTGATTGTGGGTCTGGTAGAAGTTCAAAGTCCATAAAGCTGATTTTTTTTAAAGAGACTTCTAATCCACCTTTTAATTAGAAGGAAAACTACATGTTCATTAGTAACATTATGGCCATATATATTATTGGGCTACATGAATTTCATTTTTAGTGGAAAGACAAATACTGGAATATCTTGACTGAATACCAGAATGTTTCAATTTGGAAATACTTTGGGGGCTGAAGTTTGGGTGCCCATTCTCCTCTCTAGGCTAGGCTCTCTGGTTAGTCTATTTTCCCAGGATGCACTACTGTCTTCCCTCCAGAGAGGAAAGGCAAGTTATCATGTGTGTCCTTGCCCTGGTGTATTTGGGGGATGTAGTCTATTTTGGATTGGAGGAGTGGCCCAAAGAGGGAATGAGGGCAAGAACCAACCAAATTATCACTTCTTTGAGTCAGTGCAGGAACATTTCTAAGCTGGAATATTTGGTGAAAAACCCAAATTTGGGTGGATGGGTGGGTTGCTTGGCCGATTTATTTATTTATTAAGGAGGACTTTGCAGAGGATTTGTCATGCTTGGGATTTTGTTATCATTACTCCTACCTGATGCATAAAGAAAAACTTGAAATGGCTTTCAGAGGTGATTCCCCCTCCCCACCCTCTATTTTTTACATTACAAATATCAGAAAAATCAGGGTCTTTTCTTCTCTGGCTTTGCTGGAGCATCAACAAGAGACATATGGGAGATGTGTATGTGTTATCTATCTCTATATATAATTTCAAAGTC